ATAGTTTGTTTTGCTTCCAAGTTAATTTTCAGGTGTTTGAAGAGCAAATCTACATATACAAGTGAAGAAATGGATTACATATGAGATCTGTTGTCCCGCTTCTTACTTGATGAGCACAACAAGTGATGAATCATTACATACATTACTTGTAGAATTTTTAGGATTTTGCATTAAGTTATATTTTTAGAACTTTACTTTGTAATGAGTTTCAATTGGAATTTTCATTAGGAAGCATTAGTATTGGTTCTCTGTGTGTGTGTGGGTGTGTGTGTGATTGTTGGTTCTGGACATATAATTGCTAGTTGGTTCTGTGATATAATTTGCAATTATAGGTAGGTTTAATATTAAAAAAATATAATTTCTACGTTAGTCTTAAGGATAACCGTCATAGAAAACCATATCAACGACGTTTAGTTCAGCTAAACGAATTAGTTCAAACATACTATGGTGATTAAACCTGATTACCGACATTTAAAATATATTCTACGATGGTTATACGTGTTAACTATCATAGAATATTCTACTCCAAATCGCCTTTTAACCGTCATATAGAAGCATCAAAACTATGTTCCCGGTATATATATACATCCCTCATTTAACTGTCGTTAAAACCTGTCCCTAGCTAACATTAATTACCCTTCTTGTAGTAGTGACTTTTCATGTCTGACAACCAACCATAATACTGCCTCTGATTCATAACATAAAGTGTCAGTTAAGTTTTCTCACAATTCAAGCTATTAATTAAATCATTAAATGTGTTTTAAATTGATAAATATTACCAATTTTATCCTTACTAAAGAATGTGATTGAAAAATTCTATCATCCCTATGCTCATTATAACAAGGGGTCCTGTCAACCTAGCAATCTCTTATATTTTGGATTAAAATTTTCTTCTAAAAGACTTCTTATATTTTGGACCAGAGGAGTACAAAACATATTAAAAAGAAGAGGAAAGAAAGAGAAAACTAGCTAGTAATAAGTACCGATGTTTTGCTCATGTTGTGAATCTTCTGCATCCCCAAGCTTCAACGGGCTCGGGTATTAGTTGCTGCCCCCAGGTGCTGCTTTTTGGGGCTCTTCTCAAATATTTGTTCTGAGATGCTTTTCATCATCAAATTCTACATAAAATAAGTGATATTTTGATATTTTATTTACAAAAAAAATGATTTAGTTTTCAATTTTTTACGACTTTCAAAGATTCAATACTCTAAATGGCTCAGTTTCTTTTTAACTTAGAGTATTAAATCTTTAAAAATTGTAAAAAAATTGAAAACTAAACAATTTTTTGTAAATAAGATATCAAAATGTCACTAATTTTATTTAGAATCCAATATTAAAAAAATCTAAAAAAACATTTGAAAAGAGCCCAAAAATTAAGAGACGGCTAGAGACGCAGGGCAGCAGCCATCCCAACTCAACTTCAGCCTCCTCCATTCAAAGCTCCAACCTACCTTTAAATTACGTACGGCCAAAACCAGCAAAAAGCTGTGTGCTTTTGCTAGGAAACCCGCTATAACGGGTTCTGGCTATATTTTTCACAGTCCCATCACGGCGGCTCTCTCTTAAATTATAGTATGTTTTCCTAGAGATGTGCTAGAAATGTAGATAATCCAATGTATAATATAAACCGAGGATTGTTTTACTAACAAATTGTGAGATTCTCAATGCGAACACGGTGCGAACACGGTGTGAACGCGGTGTGAGCGAATAATAAATTACTTGTAGCAGTCAAGTTATTGTCAGTCCACTTTTTTGCCAATTATTAAAAAGGGGAATGAGGCAAGTTGGAGGACAACATGCATGCAACAGTAACTCTGCCTCCTGTCCTTTTATAATAAATAAATAACTAATTTATCAACAGAAAAAATAATTAAAAATAATTTTAATCAATGGTAAGTTTCTAATGTGTAATAAACACTTTAAGCTGCAGCTTTAAGGAAATAGGTGCGTGCTGTTGAGCGTCCATGTGTGGAAGAGAAATGGTTAGCACAACAAGATACTTGCTTTCGGTTGTCTCAGATCTGTTTTCAAGTCTGCTTTAGTTTTTTGATGCTGCATGGTTCTTTTTAGCTATTGTTACGTTAGTTTCTTCTGTTGTCTTTATTGTTGGTCTGTTCATTTTTCTTATTTTTGTCGTCCTGGATTGGCCTTTCTCTTTTAGTACATTTGGACATTGCTCAAATTGAACTAATGTAACTGGCTGGCATGTTTATGTAATTTTTTATTTGGTTTTAAATAAAATTCACATTTTTATTAAAAAAATTCGTTGGTGTTTCTTATAAATATTCACACTATAATGAGATAAAAAACTATAATAAATATTTTAAATAAAAGATGATTGTTTCTTAATAAAGGATTAAGAGATTTCTCCTAAAACTCTCCTCTGAATTATAGGGGGTATATAGAATGGGTCAATTTCCGTTGATGGAATAACATAAAAGATATTAATGTTATGAAATTTGGGCGACACATTTTCACCATGACCAATGTATCCATCATTTTTTTTAATGATTGAACCTTCGCTATTCCTAGTTAAGAACATTATACATAAATTGTTAATTTTCTGTTTTCTCGTTTGTGTGTTAATTGAGATATTTGATGGCTTTGATTGTTTCAGGAAACAAATTGTCGTCGAGATGCAAGAACATGTGGACTGGACAAATTACACAAAGTATATCCAAAAGAGTCTTATTTAATTGAAAGATAAAGCTGCATCTTGTTAATGGTCTAAGCACTTATCAACAATTAAACATTATGGCACGGTCATTTATCATAATTAGATTTTAGACAAAGCTGTGAAATTAAAGTAAACACCGTTGTCTTATTGCAAACTCCCTCTTTGGTATTGATGACATTTATGAAGAGCGTGCGTACGGTATCACATGCTTTGCATTCTAAAGAATAGTTTATTGGAGAAATTGAGGTTAAGAACTTGTTGACAAATATACTTGGAGAAAAGGACCTGAATTACAAAAGCACACGCAGATGATGGAATAGAAAGACACAGAACATGTATAGATAAACTGTAGATTTTTGTCCATGCCTATTTTTATTTTAAATATGCTAATATCATGAGTCTCACATAGGAGAGTTACTTTTAAAGATGAGTGTTATAAGGTTTTGTGTTCTCCAACTTCAATAACTAGCTTCTAAGATGTGGTCTACTGCACCTGTTGCAATGATACTTTCATTGAGAATTGGCTAACCAGAGAAGACTAGCTATCTGTGGAGGGTTCTGATTGGAAGGGTTAATTGGTAGAAGACTGAGTGAAGATTCATTAGGTGCTTGTTCTAGTTTGCCAATTGTAGGTCATTAATCCCAATTTTTTTCAAATTTATTGGATTTATAATTTAAGTGTGTACAAGCATCATTTACAAGCACCACAGGCATTAATTAGTTTCTTTCTTCTTCTTCTTCTCTTACTCCATTCTTCTTTCAGACTAACCTCTCAAGTCCTTCATCCTTAATAGGTGTTTAGTTCAATTGATTCATTAATATTTTAATTAATTAATTAAACCCCATTCAACTAGCAAATTATAAGTTTTCACTCGATTAAATTTTACACTTAACCAAGCTCTTTCAAACATCAATCAAGTGAACTTGACAATCTCATTAGGAGGCAATCAATAAGAAGAATTAAGCATCAAGTAAAATTAGCAAAATCATATCATTAATCACAAATATAAAGGGGAAAAAGGGTATTCAATCCATAAAAGAGCTCAAAATAACCCTAGAATCAAAACTTTAGCCACACATGTTCAGAAGACCAATGAGATAAAACACAAAATTCAGCATAAACATTGAACAGGAGAAAGGAAAAGGAAGATGGAGAAGATGAACAAGGAGAAGAAGCTCAAATCTATTAAAATCTTTAAATCCTAGCTCAATCTCTACTTCAAGAACCAAACTCGAGTACCCCCAAGCTACAAAATGCTCCCAAGAAGGTCAGAATGATGGCCAAAGACAACTTGGGGCCTCAAATTGCTCAAAACCCTCAATTTTTCTGAGTTAGTACTATTGTGTGTTTTGCTATTAGCAACTGCACGGCTAAGTTTGCCTCTTTTTGAGTTTGGCTAAGTTTTGCTATCATTTGTTTTCTGGTGAAAAGTTTCCATCATATTTATTATTTGGGACTAGGGTGTCAACTATGCCTCCTCAACTGCGCCTCATTTTTGGGGTCATTCCCAAATGTTTTTTTTTTCCGTGGCTTTTGACATTTTGATACCTTAAGGGCAAAAAATGATTCAGTTTTTAATTTTTTTATGATTTTCAAAGATTTAATACTTCAAATGTTTCAATTCTTTTTAATTTAGAGTATCAAATCTTTGAAAAAAAATAAAAAAATAAAGAACTAAACTATTTTTTTATAAGATATCAAAATGTCACTTATTTTATATAAAATCTAATGGTAAAAAGACATAAAAAAATATTTGGAAGGAATCCAAAATGAAACGGAGCTGGGGTGCAGCTAAGGGGACATAATTGACACCCTAGCCCTGTTATTTATTATTCCTCCGATCGTAAATAAGACCCATTTTATATTTTAATTTATACTATAAAATGGGTCTTATATAATCTTCTTAAGATTTCTCAATTTGACTTCACTAGATATCTTTTTCCATAAATTTCCTGGAAAACAATCGCAGTAGAAAAATTATCCTTAATTGAATTTACCAATTCATAAAAGTTAACCCGATGAGATTTTATATTGAATAATTATATGAAAATATGAATATCATATATAAGTGCGCATGAGAGGAGATTAAAAAAAAAAAAAAAAAGGATCGACTTCTGGCGATTTCTCAGACGGTAGCCCAACTGGAGCATTTGGTTTGGATCCGTCATCCAACTACTTTAAAAGAAAACAGCCAGCGGTTTTTCCATTCCCCAAAAAACCGGAAACCGAATTTTTTTCCCTAAAGCTCATATATAAACCCACTTGAAGCTTTGCAAATAGAAGTAGTGAAAGCCTCAAAGGGCATCGTTCATAAAAAAGCCTCTCTTATTAGGACCTTCCCAAACAAACCTGTCTTCTCCTTCTTCTTCTTCTTCTGTTTCTTCGTCTGCCCACTTCCATAATTGTTCTGTGAGTTCGAGCTTGTCGATCATATAAGCAATCTTTATTACAATTCTTCTTCTTCTTCTTATCATTTATTTTTTTATTTTTGCGTTCTATCTACAGTAAAGGACTCCTTTAATTTGACGAATATATTGTTGTGTGGCTGATCTGAATAATGGGGAAAGCAAAGATTGCGATAAAGAGGATAGACGATTCAGCAAACAGGCAAGTGACTTTCTCAAAGAGAAGAACTGGGTTGCTCAAGAAAGCAAGAGAGCTTGGGATCCTCTGTGACGCACAAGTTGGGGTCATCTTCTTCTCCAGCACCGGCAAGCTCTATGAATATGGAAGCTCCAGGTTCCTCTTCTTTCCACCTTCATTTGACTCTTTTCCTTTCTCTGATTTATCAGAAGCCATCACAGCAGCAATTTCTCTGTGCTTTTCTCTCCCTTGATCTAAGTGATTAATATTCCTTTGGATCCTTTTCAATTCTAGTCTTTTTTAATCATCCCAAGATAAAATGTGATGATATTGGATGAGATATCTAGAAATTTACTCTTTTTTTTTTTTTTTGGGTTATATCTGCCCACTTGCACCCACACACATACACGGAAGAGTTTCTACACGCTTGCAATTGATGCTTCAGATTTGTATGTTTAAATATTCTTTTTCTCCTCTTAATTATATGCTTGCATATAAAATATCAGAAACTACTCCTCCTTTTGCTAGCTGATCTTTAATTAATTACTATTGTTTACGGGCCACACTTTACTGAGAGCTGATCAAACCTAGCTTCCATTCTAAATAAAACTTTCAAAAGCTGTGCATGAGGCAGTTTGAGCTAGTATTTTCATACATATATAGATATATGTGCAGAAAACTAGGAAGAACGCATTATAACGATATGCGTGGGAGTGCATATGAACATGGTCTGGGTTAATCGATTAGTATTGCTTAGAGATAAATGAATTATATAGATTTGCTTAAACTTGACTTTCATCTTATTGATTGAATTCTCTCTGCTTATTATGGCAGCTTGAAGTCAATTATTGACCGCTACAATAAACACAAAGATGAGGAACAACATCCGCTTATGAATCCAGCTTCAGAAGCCAAGGTACTAGGATACATAAAAGTCATGTCTAGTCACCTGAAATTCGTAAAGCATATATAATTCTCATTGTTAATATATATTTGCAATTTTCAGCGCATTTTATATTTAACTCCAAGCAAGATTAGGCAACAGAAAGAGAGCGATAAAAGGGACGGGAGGATTTAAAAACAAGGAAAACCACAGAAAAATAGAAACATTGATTCTAGTCAAAGATTGCATATGAAAGAGATGAGTGTTGCTAAAGATGATGCATATGATGAGGGTCAATTGGAAAGATTAACTCGTTTAGACAATACCAATGATCTAACTACCTTTTCCTAGTTCTGGTTAGCACGTTATGCGCGGTTGATGCATAAAACTAGAGGGAGGATATTGGATAGAAAAATTTTTAAAACGCACGCACGCACGTATTGAGATGCGGCCATTGTTATGACCCTTCAATAACTTTTGTGCTTCCTTTGGTATCTACTCCCTCCATTTCTATTAATATGTCTTATGATAGATACAAGTGACCTTATAGTGCCTCAAACAAACTTCCAACAGAAGATACATATACTTAATTGGGGGGGGGGGACAAAGTTATGAAGGGAGTATTATAAGTCACTCCTACAAGGATTTTATGGCCCTTTAGTGTATTCCTTCGAGTCTAGATATAATATAAGTCACTTTTATTTCATTTGCATGTATTAAAAAAAATAATACTTATGTCAAGTTTCTTATATTCATTAAAAGTAGGACACATGACCACTTGTAATTGTAGAACTTCATATAATGAATATGAGGAACTTGGTGCAAGTATTTTCCTTAAAAAAAAGTAGTCAAAGGCTAATTAAAGCATGAAATTGTCATAAAACTTCATTATTTTTCAATATTACCCCTATTAATTGCATTAAATCCCATAACCATATACTTTAAATATTCTACAATTTGTTTTTTCTCAAAAGTAGCCCTTACGAAATCATTAAATGGAGTCACCCCTTAATTAATGGCGAGATTAAACTAACCTCTGCCAGTTTTATTAACCTCATATGTGAACAACCTCCCAGACTTCTGAAACTTTACAATAAACATTCATGAACCTTTGCATTATACTCTCATACTATTAATTTTGTTCATTATTTATCCGTAAAAGGCTTAAATTTTAACAGGGTTTATCTGCGCATGCACTGCCTCAAGTTCAACGTACATAAAGTCATGCATGATCCTAATCCAAAATATAAGCCATGATTAATTAAGTTTTGCTTGGTGTACTAATGATTTTTTTTAAAATTTTCCTTCACTTTTGTAATTAATGTTATGCCCTATATTTTCTTTCACTCAAGAGGGGTAGGGGGTTCACTCAAGAGGAATGTTATGTTTTTGACAAATTTAATGAGTTGTTCAACTTTTTACTTCCTTCATTGACATATGAATTTTCCCAAAACATCATATATAAATTGCAAAAAATGCATTTAAGGCCTTTGTTTTTTTTAAAAAATATATATTGATTTGTAAATAAATTTATAACAAGTTATCTGGAGAATGAAAGTAGGGTCTCATATATAGATTAACTAATAAAGAGCAATTACAAGTAATTTGTACAAAATGCTATGAAGAGATTTGGACCTAGAAATGCTTATACTATTTCTGGTCTTCAATACAAAAGCTAGATAACTCATCTGTAAATATTAAGAAAATTAGTTAAGCTAGGTATTTGAAATAAATAGGTATTTCTTTTCTAAAATACCCTTGTTAATCATGTGTCTTAGAACCAAACTCTTTCATGGAACCTTTAACATGTGCAATCACCATAGGGATTATTTCATAAAAAAATAAATAAATACGAGAGACAAATAGATTAGGCTATTATATTTTGGACCAAATAAGAATAGGAGATAGTATCATTAGTTAGAACTTACAACTTCTTCCTTACAATTGCATCACTCCTTATTATATTGAATGCTATCGTTATATGTGTGGTTGCACTTGTTAGTTTTGGCGGAGAGAAGCAACAGTCTTAAGGCAACAACTACAACACTTGCAGGAACTGCACAGGTACGAAATGTTAATCTAACACGAAAATGCTATGAACAAAGCACTGCAACACATTGGTTTTGAACTCGCTTCAAAATTAAAGTGCAATATGTTCTGATTTTTTTCCCCAGAATATATTCTGAAAATAAATGGAAAAATTTAGTAAACCACAAGTAACTTATTTCCTTTTGAAAATGTAGGCAATTCACGGGTGAACAACTCTCTGGTCTGGGAATCAACGAATTAAAAAGTTTGGAAAATCAACTGGAGATGAGTTTGAAAAAGGTCCAGATCAAGAAGGTATGATAGATCATTTCAACTTATATCCTGCATTCAATGTAACATGTCACCACTTATATATACAAGCGAATATGTTAACCTGAACTTGATCATTAATTCGTCTGTAGGAGCAAATTTTAGCTGATGAGATTAAAGAGTTACAACACAAGGTACTCAAGAAGTCAGCTTCTGATCTTGCCATGTAAGAAAGGACTTCCCACATATTCTGACTTCCCATATAATGCTATTGCAGGGACATCAAATTCGCCAAGAAAATGTACAACTCTACAAAACAATGGAAGTCATTAGTAAAGAAAATGCAGAATTACAGACGAAGGTAAGTTGATAAAAACATTTTATCGAATTATAGGCCATGTAATAAATGTGCTACAGACGAAGAAGTTTGCCTCCAATTACACAACAACAAAGGAGGGAAGATGAAGACATCATCTCTAGTGAGCCTGTACTATTTATTCAAAAGCTAAATGTTTCAAGTTTTCTTTCAAAGTGTTCATAGACTTGGTTTGTTTTTTTTTGGCCACTTTCCTTAGATTTCTGAAGCAAGGGTTGTGAATGAAGAATATGGGAATCCTAATAACCCTACATGCACTATTAATCTCCAGCTGAGCCAATCACAGTCTCAATCTAGTGAATCACCAACCAAAGCAATGGAGCTGGGGTATATCTTATATATCCCTTGAAACTGAGTAAATATATATTGCTCATTCTTTAGAATAACAACTAGTTAAATACTTGATTTTTATGACAGATTACAGCTGCCTTAGCACAAGCTCTTGGACAATCTAGGATTCTTAACGCCACGCTGCCACCAACTTTCCTGTTAGAGGTGTTTCCTCAGGAATCATTTCTGTCATTGTTATAAAATAAGGATCAAACGTATTATATCGGCTGTGTCTCTGTAAATTTTAGACAATAATACTACCAAATGTGCCAAGTGTTGAATTATATAGTATCCAGATTTGTTGTGATCAAATGAATGGAATTTGACCTGTCTACCTTTCAATGAAATAGCCATAAACATGAACCTCCCGTTTTATCCTACCTTTGTTCTTTTTCCCCCTTCCCTTTTTGGTGATATGTAAAAACTTCAAGTGTTCACTTCAGAACTGAGTGTAAACTTAGTGAATAAGCTGAATTAGGATAAATCTCTATTCCCCCCATCCCTACTTTATTTACATTTCTAGTAAATGGCATAATGTTCTATATTTATTGCTTATGGTTCTATTTTCCTATATTCAAACCATTTGACCATGTGTGTAAATAATTCGATAAATATACTCTCAAAAACATAATGGAAATTGAATTTCGTCAAGTTAATACATGAGTACTTAAGAATTGGTGGCAATATAAACAATATACCGAGTGATAATGTACAAAGACTTGAAGTTTAAATCAAAGTTAATTATATTTTTTGCAGGAACATATCAAACTAAATATATGCACTAGAAATGTAGATCATCAGAATAGTAAATTGAGCATTGTTTACTTCACCCGAGAAATAAATTTTTGGAGTGTCAATGTGAATGCATATGTGAGCAAATAAAAAATTATGCATAGCAGTCAAGTTATTGCCAATCTACTTTTAGCTAATTAATTAAATAAATGAAATGGAGCAAGCTGGCCATTGTCGGCTATTCTTATTTAAATCATTATACCTGAATTGTTAATTTTCTGATTTGTCTTTTCTATGAGTTAAACTATTTGAGGGCTTTGATTGTTTCAGGAACCACATCTTCATCGAGACATAAGAACATTATCACAAGGGTACGAAAAAGTTCATATCGAATTCAAAAAAGATGGGCTAAGCACTTATCATCCACAATGAACATGGGGCGGCGGTTATCAGAATTAGTTTTTCGACAAAATTGCAAGTTAACCTATCAACTATCGTCTTAAAAATTGCAACCTTCCTTATTCTGGACCCCGCAACCTCACAGGCTTTTGCAGTGTTAAGAATAATTTATTTGGTTTAATTTTTAGGGTTTTTGGTTTGTAATTTAAGTGGGCAAGAATATTATTCATTTATTCTATAATGTTTGATTAGTTTCCATATCGTGAGTGAGGCTAAGGAGTTTTATGTTATTTCACATAGTAAAAATTAATGATAAGTAAGTCCTATAAGATTTGAATGTATCTTTACAAATTTTCAAGACTTATTTATAAATGCTATGAGCCTATGACATAGGCTATGCACTATATTTTCGTGCGGAATCAGTCTTAGGCACTTAGCCATGTATATTCTTTTTCTAATGAAAATTTTAGTTGATTTTATTTTTAACATCCCCTTGCGTTGAACGAGGATCATTGTAAGGTTAAGAAAAAGACTGTCATAGTCATAGCATAGTTACCGGTGTCTGGAAAACCTTATAATCAAATAAAAAGGATTCTTTTATAGTTTATAAAGCGAAGATAAAATTCTTCTTCTATATTATCTCATATGTAGTACAAAATCGTTTAAGAAAAACTAATCCAAATTTAATGAGAAAAGAAAATAGAGGCAGAGAGCACGAGCACCAAGGCATTGGAATGAGGGCCTGGGTGCTCTGTCGCTCATAGCAAAACGATGTGCTTCACTAAACTAAAAAATTTTATTGTTTGAAACATATATATCCTTTTGCTTTGACTTGGCCATCGTTCTGGTCTTTTTGGTTGCATTTGGAAGTCTTTTGTTGAGCTAGAGTGAGGATTGT